GGTTCCACAGGCGAAAGACTGGACTTTCTACTCCAGTAAAGGCACTCTCTCTGAAACCCACACCAGGTCGCTATGAGTCGGCACTGAATCGATGGCAGGGAGCATGAAATAGACAGCTTGGGCTGTAGCTTGCTGGTCTGGAGGGAACAGGAACACGACACCTGGGAGGCACCCCCGCTTTGGTCCCAACAAGAATCTGATGCCCAAACCAGATTTCTACAAAGGAGTCCGATGGGTTCATTTGCAGACGGATTCGAACCCTGGGGCATAAATACACATACAGGGGAATGGTGGGCTTGGGAGTCGGGTGCACAGCTGTATCTTCAGCTCCATTCTCCCTCATCCTCCTCATAAAGTCTTCAAGTTCAAGGCAGCTTCTACCCCAACTGGCCTTGCTCCTGGCTAGCTCTTCCCAGGGCAGGAACGGAACCTGCAGTGCCACGTTCTCTCCTCCACTTCCAGGTTTCTGTAAACCTGGGCATCAGAGCCTGGATACTCGGGGTGTTGCAGCTTCAGAAAACAAGGTCTGTCATGTCCCCACCCAGCCATTGGACCCCTCCTGTGAGGAGCCCTGCGGGGTACTGGCTAAGTGTTGGGCTGTGATCCATATGATCCGCAGTTCGAAACCACCAGCAGCTCTGAGGGAGAAAGCCCGGGTTTTCTACTCCCTTAAGCGGTTACAGTCTCGGAAACCCATGCAGGGTAGCTGAAGAGTCAGCACTGGCTCCATGGCAGCGAGCTTGGTGGGGCAGGAGCTTCAAGTGGTGACACCGCAAGGTGCTGCACGGCTCAAGTCTTCAAATCGTCGTCAGACGCCAGCAGCCCCAGCCCCAGCGCTGCCCAATCAGGGACAGCATTCCCATCTCCGGTGGTGCCCAAACCGCAGGCATCCACCTCCAGGGTCGCAAGGTCTGCGGGAGGGACGCAAGTGGGGGAGAATCTCGCAGTAAGGAGGAGTCAAAGAACCCAGGTCGACAACCAGGTCCGCCCCACGCGGCCCCATATTCCGCCTGGGGACACCCTGCGGGCCACACACGTCTGGGTCCAGGTGAAGTCTCCCAGGGTCAACGCTCGAAAAACGGCGGGTCGGGAGGAGATGGTGCACGTCGGGAGAGGGGACCAGACCAGCACAACCTGACCACAGCGCAGTTGCCCTACACTCCCGAACAGCCCAGCCACTGTCGGCCACCCAGCTGCGTCGTTTTGTCCCAGGTCAACGACCAAAAAACGACCGCGTGCTCTGGCGCCCTGCATGGCGCCCACGTCCGGACTCCGAGGGTTAGGCCGCATCG